TAGTTTGAACATTCTTTGACACTGCCCTTATTCGTGATTGGAATGAAAACTGGCCATTTCCAGTCCAGTGGCCACTGCTGAGTTTTCCAAATTTGCTGGCATTATTGAGTGTAGCACTTTCACAAATCTTTAGGATTTGAGATAGCTCAGCTGGAATTTCATCACCTCTACTAGCTTTGTTCATAGTAACGCTTCCGATGGCCCATTGACATCACACTCCAGCATCTCTGGCTCTAGATGAGTGATCACAGCTTTGGAACCACGATCCAGGTCATTGCGATTTTTTATGTGCAGTTCTTCTGTGTATTCTTGCCACCTCTTCTTAATATCTTCTGCTTCTGTTAGGTCCATAACACTCTGTCCTTTACTGTGCCCAATTCTGCATGAAAGTTCCCTTAGTACTATATACCTACCACACTTCAATTTAAAAAAATAAAAAGCATCAAGTATTCCTTGACCAAAGAGGCCACTGAGATTAGAGGGAACTCCCATGACAGCGATTTAGTCTGTAGGCTAACAGTCTCTGCATTAAACCAGTATCAAGTGACTGTCAAACTGTTACACATTTATCTCTCAAGTTATGCTCATATGCACTATGAGAAGATAGTGCATAGATTTGATAGATAAGCAAGATAAGATAGATAGATTTGATAAGATAGATAAGATAGATTTGAAGATAAGCAAAATCATTTATCTAAACAAAAACACAGGTATACACACATTTTTACCCGAGATATGGTTTAACTGTATTATTTTATAATTTACTCTGCAAACTCTAAATTTAATAAGGTTCTATTTGATTAGTGCGGAATTCAAATACACTGTATCCATGCCAAAGTTTGCAACCAAGTGGGAGGCAGGGGAAAGATACTTCAAACACTCCACAGGAGCAACCTTAGGCAGCTGTCTTAGAATATCAGTGCAGGACTCAAACTACTTCACACGCTATCCACAAAACGGATGAGGTGTGAAAGAAATTCTGTGTTTAACATGACCTTTGGCTGTACTTTCACTTGTTATAAAGGAGCTATTCTCAAAGCCAACACATAGGCTATGTTATTACTCGTATAGTTACAGTACTATTTTACCAAGTGCTTCATACTGTGACAATTTCAGACAGAATATATGGAAGCTCTTACCTTTGTTACAAGGCATAATAGGCTTCTCTAAACAAAAAGAGTGATGAATGTATGAATAAGAACTATTGCATGAGATTTTTTCTTTTCAATATACATTCAAATACAAATATGCCAGTGTGGTTACCTAGGTTCAACTTAACAAGTCATCTATACTCTAAATGCCAAAAAAAAAAAAAAAACCACTTAAGTTTAATATCTAGTAATGACTTTATTAAACACATGTCAAGAGGGAATTAAAAGGAAAACTATATAAAAAATAAAAACTTTCAGCAATTCTCTTCTACAGATTCCCATTTCCCCACACAGAATTTCACCAAGGAACACAGTTGTTTTCAAAAATTCATTGTTTTGGCAAAACAGCCAAGTTATCAATATAAATGACATGTAACATATTTTCAGGAAAAAAGGACTACTGGATCATATAATAAAAAATTATAAATTCTGAAGGTATAACAAATAGTTTTCCATACAATGTCAAATTTATCAGAAGATTTACAAAGCTAAAATAAGTATTAAAAATCCTATAATGGTGCTTCCCTGGTAGCTCAGTGGTGAAGAATCGACCTGCTGATACAGGAGACACTAGCTCGATTCCTTGTCCGGGCAGATCCACATAAGCCTGTGAGTCACAGCTACTGAGCCGGTGCTCGAGAGCTCAGGCCACAACTACCGAGTCCGCGGCCTCAGCTGCGGAAGGCCAGGTGCTCTGGGGTCTGCGCTCTGCAACCAGAGAGGCCACGGGAGCGAGAAGCCGTGCAGCGACTGGGGAGCAGTCCCCACTCGCCACAACTAGAGGGGAGAAAAGCCCACGGAGCAGTGAAGATCCAGCACGGCCAAAAATGAGTAAAATTACGTTTTAAAAGGTCTCATAATGCATGCTATGAAGACAAGCTTTAGAACCACTATCTATTCTACTGTGACCGTATTTGCCATGCTCATATTTCTGTTCCCAGTAGCAATACCGCTTTACTTTCACCTTTTAAGTTCTTTTTATTTTTTCCATTGGCTCTAAAAGCTATAAAACATCAGAATCACATTTTATAAAAGTCAGAAACACAAACTGCCTAAGTTGGTTAACAAAAACACATAAATACTGGCCATAATAGAAGTGTGTTTTATCACAAACTATTTTTAAAAATATTACACATGAATTAAGACTTCTCTTAAATATGCATTATCAACACTGTAACTACTCAATAAGAATCTGAGATGTTACGAGGGTGACCACAGGTCTCAATTTGCCCAGGACGGTACTAGTTTGCACCTACTGTTTTGGCATTCATACAAAAGCAGTTATTTATGGTACTCACACTGTCACCCAAGATTTGACTTAACAGAGCCCAGGAAATGGCCATGGGCTTAAGAGTCAAAAGAAGTAGTCTGAGCATTAGACATCCAGCATGCAAACATTCAATCTCCCTGAGGTACAAATTATTCTTCAGTATTTAATATGGATCCACTATACAGGATTATAAGAAAAATCAAATCAGAAAATTCAAGAAGCTCAAGTACTACCTACTGGTTTAAAAAAGATGACCAAATGTACTACAAAGTGAATATACTTGGCAAATGAAGCCTGTCAGAGATATAAATAACCACAGACTATAAAAACAACAAACAAAAACAACTCAAGTGAAAAACTACATTATACCAACTACACATTCGGAACTGTAATGGGCTAAGAAGGACCATGGGAATCAGACTAAATGAGTACCAGTTTCAGCACCATTACTTACTGTCAGCTGTGTGGCAATGAGCAGGTTCCTAAATCTGTTTCCTCATTCATAAAATGAAAATAATAACCATACTTCTCTCACTTGTAAGAGTAACAAATAATCCATGTAAAAGATAGGATTACTTTGTGCAGCACTGTGCCTGCACAAAGTAAGTGCTCAATAAATGCTAGCTATTATTATGACAATCTCCATCGCTGTCTCTTTTCAAAAACAAGTCCTATGAGATTATTTAGGAGGCAATTTCATACACCTGTGCATGGGTATGTACACATATGTGTATCTGCAACTTTCAATTAAAAATCACTTGGATGACACAGCTACTATTCACAGATACATGGTGTAGTGTGAAATATTACACTAGTATTGGAGATCTTACTCAACACTGGAGAAGGCAGTTTTTGTCTCTGAAAGAAGTCCACAGTGGCATCTTGAAGCACATTTTAAAATAAAATTCCATATCTAACAATATCTGTAGTTGTTCATCTCCAGAACAGAAGAGTCAAAGATATGTATAATACACACATTTTAAATCCACGAATATAAATCAAAGGATGACACTCCCTTTAAGGCAAGCATAAGAAGGCACTAAAGCAACATCCCAATTAAATATTCATACAGTCAATATTTCAAAATAAGAATTCTTGGTTTACATATGCACATTTTACAATTCTATAGTGAAACCTTTCTACAAAGGTCATTTTCCCCATATTTCACAGCATTTATTTCAAAATGTACAATGTCGCTTCTCTCTGAAGTGTTAAAACTGTAACGTACACAGTAATTCACTGCAAGCAAACCCAGGAGGAAGACCATGTTGTGCACATGATACCCTGTAACCCAATTAGCTTAACCTATTGATTAAACCCATTCAAAAAGAGAACACATATAACATGTTCAATCTTATGATTATAAAACAGCATCAGAACTAAGAAGAAATATTTTATTTGGTGAAAAATAGAAACTTTACATATGAGAGTCACTAGGTAAAGTCAGAGAAACTATAGCTTGCATTTATAAAGACCTCTGTCCATTTTTAGCTCATTAAAACAAAGGGATTTAAAACTTTCCACAAGAGATATGGTATAAAATAAATATGTCACAAAAAATGATATAAAAATCTATATAAACATTATGCTGCTTTCCAAATACACATATAACAGGGATTTAAAAAAAAAACAAACCCTTCATCAGTCAACTTTACATCTCAGGAATCCAAATCTAAGTTCTCTGAACTTTACTAAAAATATTCCAGGAGTACAACAACTTTGCCATTAAACTCCATTATCTATTCTAAATCTACCGACCACTCTTTAGAGATACCAAGAATAATGAAGACTGAAGTTTACAAGTTCTGTCTCAGTTTATGGACTATAGGCTATATCACTAATCTGTAAGGGACTGTACAATGAGTATCCGCATAACTTATATTCTATCAGCAGTAACCCTAAACAGGTAAATTTAGAGCTAAAAAAAGCATAACTGAACTTTTATAACTACCATAAATTACTTTAAAAAAAAAAAATCCCTGGGCATTGCAATGAATATACTTTTGCCTTAGAGCTAATACTTTAATTTTAAAGAACCACAAAGAAAAAAATCAAAACTAGTCAGTAACAATGCAGCGTCTAAAAGCAATAAACTCAAAATTAAGTTATAAATAATTTAAAGCATGTCATGAAGATGTATTAATAATTCATCAGATAAATAATTTACTAAATAATCAAATAAATAAATAATGAAATACATAAATAAATCAGCAAATAAATAATTCTGCAAAATAACCTAAACAATAAGTCACCCAAACAAATCACAAACCTACAAAACTACAATGATTCTTTGGATTCTGATAGTTTTAAATAAGCAAATGTACATAAACTAGATCAATCCTTGTTAGAATTAGAAATATTTTTCAGTGCTATTGGTAAAATCCTCATCTCAGTACATAAGAACACATTTTCAATTTTTAAAAGACTGCACAGGATTAGTTCTTATAAATTATTAACACAATTATAATATATCCTCCTCTACATTTTACATATAATATCTCTGCCTAACATATTTCCCCTAAACAACTGGATACTTAAAATATTCTTAATTTACAGTTCTTTTTCAAAGCAATACTTACAGTACAATAGTCCTATGGTCTTTTTGACAGCTTTCCTATCTTCACCAATTCTCTGGAAATTTTCTGCAGGGGTAGAAAAATAAGAATAACCTTAATTATTATAGATGGCATTTCATTCACTAGTGAACAATGCTTTATAATTCTACAAAGGAGCAGTGGGAAGTGGAGATGAGTAGTCGCGAACTTTGTCAAGTTTTTAGAAGTCTTTAGTGGACTAAACACAAGCTGACAGAGGCCAGCTTCCTCTACTGGTGCTGACACACAATCTGTTACAATTGGCGGGATTTCACATGTGAAGACAAAAACTCCCAAGGACAAAGAGACTGGCTGACATCTAATGCTATCAACAATCTGAGAAGCTCAGGGTCCCTGAAAGAACACATGAGATCACTTAACTGTTACCACCTGAGTGGGCAACAAGCTAGTCAGAGCACCACTAACAACGAAAACACAGCTGGCCTCTACACCAGCCTTCAGTGGGCATTTCAGGTTCTGCCCACCCACAGTATCAGGGACTCCTCAAGTCCATCAACAGCAGACCCCAAGCTGCGACAGCCTATCCCACAGAAATAAGAACCCTGTAATGAGCGTTTGACACTTTTAAGGAAATAAACCCAAACAGTATAACACAACATCTGAAAAGAAGGAAACTAAAAGTATTTTCTATAATTTATTTCAATGAATTTTCCAATCAAGTTAGGTAGTATTTTACCTATTTCATAATCAGGGAAAATGAGACTCATATACTGCCTGTGATCCCCAGCTGGCAGGAAGAGTCTAACTGCCTACACAACTTCATGTGAAGGGTCAGTGAACTACAGACTCCTTAAATTTGAGCCTACTCTTAAAAACACAGCAAATCCTAAAGCATTGCAAATTCATGAAAGCAATGGTTTTGCCTCCCAGAGGACATTTATTGGCATGTCCAATAAAAAGAATATTTATTGGCAACAAATAGATAGAGATCAGTGATGCTGCTAAACATCCTAAAATATAAAGGATAGTCTCCTACAACAAAGAATTATTGGCCTAAAATATTAATAGTGCTGAGGGTGGGAGACTCTAGCTTAGAGTAACATGTCCATAAGCGCTGAGCAGTTTTCCTACATTAAAAACTAACATTTTTGGAGAAGGAAATGGCAGCCCACTCCAGTATTCATGCCTGGAAAATCCCACGGACCGAGGAACCTGGGGGCTACAGTCCATGGGGTCGCAAAGAGTCAGACACAACTGAGCGGCTTCGCTTCTTCACTTTGTATCACGTGGGCAAGTCCCCATAAAGTGCCATATGTACTGGGATTAAAATTAAAGCAGTGATGTTTTGTTTCTTCAACTAGAGACTCTTAAACCTTGTCAACTACTGTGGGTTCCTCATTCCCTACCCTTTGTTGTCTGTTTTATTGTAGTTATAATAAAAAATAAAAAAAAACTAACATTTTGTTCAGAGATGTAGTCTTTTCTTATATGCATAACATTGTATGTAGTGGGATACCCTAGATAAAAATGCATATACTGTGGAGAATATGTATATGGGAACTCTTTGTACTTGCTAATTCTTCTATAATAAAAACCTAAAATTTCTCCAAAAAAAAGTTTATTAACTTTTAAAATATGTATTCTTCAGTACTTTCAGATCATAAGCTCCTTATTGCAAAACTCAGGCTTAAGCTGAAGTAGGGGAAACCACTGGACCATTCAGGTAGACCTAAATTAAAGCCCATCTGATCACACAGTGGAGGGAACAGATTCAAGGGATGAGACCTGGTAGACAGCGTGCCTGAAGACTACAGACAGAGGACTGTGCCACTGCACAGGAGGGGCCAGCCAAAACCACCCCAAGAAAAAGCATCACAAGAGGGCGAAATGACTGTCTGAGGAGCGCTTACAAACAGCTGGGAAAAGAGGAGAAGTGAAAGGCAGAAGGGAAAAAAGGAGATATACCCAGCTGAATGTAGAGTTCCAGAGAATATCAAGGAGAGGTAAGAAAGCCTTCTTACACCCACGACACAAAGAAAAAGAAGGAACAGAATGGGAAAGACGAGCAACCTCCTCAAGAAAACTAGAGATGCCAAGGGAACATTTCATGCAAAGACAGGCACAGCAAAGGACAGAAAATGGCAAGGACCGAACAGAAGCAGAAGGGACTAAGAAGAGGTGGCAAGAATACACAGAAGAACCAATAAAAAGGTCTTAATGACACAGATAATCAAGATGGTGTGGTACTCACCTAATGCCAGACATTCTGGAGTGTGAAGTCAAGTGGGCCTTAGGAAGCATTATTATGAACAAAGCTAGTGGAGGTGATGTAATTCCATCTGAGCTATCGAAAATCCTAAAAGATGATGCTATGAAAGTGCTGAACTTGATATGCGAGCAAATTTGGAAAACTCGGCAAAGGGTCACAGAATTGTAAAAGGTCAGCTTTCAATCCAATCCCAAAGACAGGCAATGCCGAAGAATGTCCAAACTACATTTCACATGCTAACAAGGTTATGCTCAAAATCCTTCAACCGAGGCTTCAACAATACCTGAACCAAGAACTTCCAGATGTGCAAGCTGGATTTAGAAAGAGCAGAGGAACCAGAAATCAAATTGCCAATCAACTAGATGATAGAAAAGGCAAAAGAATTTATTTAAAAAAAAAGAAAAGGAAAGAAATCTACTTCTGCTTGACTACACTAAAGCCTTTGACTATGTAGATCACAACGGGAAAATTCTTAAAGGGATGGGTATAACAGACCACCCTACCTGTCTCCTGAGAACACTGTACGAGGGACAAGAAGCCACAGCTAGAATGAGACATGGAACAATGGGCTGGTCCCAAACTGGGAAAGGAGTATGTATGGGTTGTATACTGCCATTCTGCTTATTTAACTTATACGCAGAGTACATCATGTGAAATGCTGGGCTGGATTAAACACAACCTGGAATCAAGACTGCTGGGAGAAATATCAATCTCAGATATGCAGATGACACCACTCTAAAGGCAAANGTGGCACAGTGGTAAAGAATCTACCTGCCAATGCAGGAGATGCAGGAGACATGAGTTCCATCCCTGGGTCTGGAAGATCCCCTGGGGGAAGAATTGGCAATCCACTCCAGTATTTTTTCCTGGAAAATTCCATGGACAGAGGAGCCTGGCAGGCTGCAGTGCATGGGGTTGCAAAGAGTTGGACACAACTGAGTGAGCATGCACACACACACTCAAGTTGATTCAATACGTTTCCTTATATTGGACCTATCACAGTTCTGCATAGAGTATCAAACAACGGTATCCTTTATCAGTGAGGATTAGATTACATCCTTCCCTAGCCAAAAAAATTTTAATAATTATAATGAGTTAAATGAGAGGAAAAAAAAACTGAGGGAGAGAATTTCTCCCATGTGAACATCTTGGACAATCAAAGGTTGATGTGGCAGCTCTAAGTATCAGAGGTCCAAATTCTTTCCCTCTTTTTGCTCTAGCATGTACTGTTACATTAAAAGTCACCTGGTACTCCAAGAAGGCTATGGGGACTCCAGCTACTACCCCATCTTGAAAGTAGCAGAAAGAAAGAAGGGGGAGGAAGGCCCATCCCACTCTCTTAGCTCATCAATAACCTAGTCCCTCTGCCCACACTCAGCCACTTGAGGGGACAGGAAACCATCTCCAAATGCGGGAATCATCTATAAAACTGAGATTCTTGAACTTCCCTGGTGCCCCAGTCATCAAGAATCCACCTGCCAGTGCAGCGGAAATGGGTTCCACTCTTGTCCAGGAAGACTCCATATGCTGCAGGGCAGCGAGACCCATGTACAGCTACTGAGCCTGTGGTCTCAATCCTGTGAGACGCAACTACTGAGCCCAGGCATCCCAGGGCCTGTTCTTCACAAGAAGCCACCACAATGAGAAGCCCACACACCACCACCGAGAGAGGAGCCCCCACGTGCCGCAGCTTGAGAGAGCCCGCGGGCAGCAATCAAGACCCAGCACAGCCTAAAGAAATAAATAACCTTTTTAAAAACACTGGGATTGTTTTTATTAAGAAAGAAATTTTGCAGGGCAAATTATGAGAGGCAGATTAAGGTGGAGATAACACTTTAAAGAAAATGGGAGATGCACTCAAATTTTTCATTAGAGTGGTTCACAGCAAATACAAATATGTATACATGTGTGTAAGTTCATATATATATTTATGAAAGAAACTCTAAATGTTTAACAACAGGTGAATGGTTAAATAGATTTGAGGATAATCTCAAAACAGAATGCTATATAGATACTAAAAACTGCTTCAAACAGTTTTATAGATACAGAGGAATGTTCACAGTATTATATGAAAGAATAGGCTATCAAACATTTCATATAAAATAGTCCCTATTTAGATAAATATACATACATACAAATATACACAGTATGCATGCATGTTGCTGCTTCAGTGGTGTCCAACTCTTTTTTTTTTTTCTTCAGTGGTGTCCAACTCGTAGCCCACCAGGCTCCTCTGTACGTGGGAGGCAAGAATACTGGAGTGGGTTGACCCTATCTTCCCAACTCGGGGATTGAACCCGCATCTCTTATTTCTCCTGCATTGGCAGGCAGGTTCTTTACCAGTAGTGCCACCTGGGAAGCTTTAAACACAGTATATACTGATACATACATAGAGGCACATTTTGTATCTGTGTATATATAGAGAGAGGTTTCCCTGATGGCTCAGCAGGTAAAGAATCCACCTGCAATGCAGGAGTCACAGGTTCAATCCCTGGGTTGGGAAGATCCCCTGGAGAAGGAGATAGCACCTACTCCAGTATTCCTGCCTGGAAAAAATCATGGACAGATGAACTTGGTGGGCTACAGACCAAAGGGTCACAAAGAATTGGACACAACTGAGCGACAAAGCACACACAAAGAAAGATAGAGACCACATAAAAATCAAGAGAACAGGATTAAATGATAATAGTGGTTTAGGCTATGGGAAGCAATAAGCTTTCACTCTCCCCATACCTTTCATTGCTTTCTAATCCTTCTACAATGAACACATAATATGCCTATAATTTTTTTCATGAAGATTTTGGCCTAGATGAAGAAA